GATTTCACTGTGTAAAGGGGAATAAGAGGAAAACAAACATTGCATCATTTGTTTGACAATCCTATTTATAGCTAGGTTTATTATTCTATAAATACTGATTTACTAGTACAAATACAGTGTATGCGCTTCATATTTTTGTTTATTACTACTTTGGAACCATAAGCTTCAAGCAGGTTAATATTCCATTACTCCAGCATGCTAGTGGTTCACGGCGAGATAGTTTTGACTTGGTGCCGCGTAACCTCTAGCATCCATTGTAAAAATTCTCGCGGCTGAAACCCCAAGTGGAAAAAAAATATTTTATTAAGAAATAAGGCTTTGTATTTTAACAGATGGTACGAAATGATAAAATATTCAATATTTACGATAAAACTTATGCATTAACATAAGCATTAACAGGTTAACCTTTCGTATTAGCAATAAATCAATTATTTTTTAAAATCGAAAAAGAAATTGAAACAACTCTGACAAGCAATCTGCAAAATTAATGTGAAGCCAAATCAAAAGTACCCACCCGCATTGGACAAATTGGAATACTGACAATTTTCATTAATTTACATTACAATAATGCACACTGAATAAAATAGATTTTATTATTTCTTGTGGCAAACACGTAGATACCTGAAAATTACTTGTTAACAGTTTATTTCACGCATAATACGTTCCACCCAATGAGCTTGTTAGAAAATGGCTTTGGATGTAAGAGTCCGAGGTATATAAGGAGCGAAGGGACGTTAACCGAGGCTCTTACTTGTAGGAGTAATATTCCATCAACTTATCGTGGTATTTGTGTTGTTGTTTTGTAGCTGACCCCGATGCGCTCCACTGATCCCAACATAATCTCATTTAAAGTAGAGACATTACAGTTCCACGTCAGCTTCAGTAACAACTTACAGAGTCTTCATATGAACGTCCAGTCAGTACCAGGTAATATCAACTAATTTGACAACGGGCCCATCAAGAGCAAGGAAAACAAAAAAAATTGTGTTTGTTTCCGACCATTTTTTACCTAAGCTGCTCATGTGACTGATGGTCATTTTCATCTTCTCCGAATTTGTTGAAGCAACTTCAACCACTGTTTAATATAAAAATCTAGGGATGAAGGACACAAAGTATTTTTATTCATGATCAGTTGAGCTTCATATATGAGAGTCCTACTGTTATTTTGAAACATCTTGGAACCGAGTTTAAGTTATAAAGAGTCCTCTTTCATAACGAATCTTCATTTGTAATTTTTACACTCAATATAATTCATTTTTATTTGTTAATTTTGATGTATTACATTATTTTTCATAACTGACCTTAATTTCTATATTGTAGAACACAGAGACCAATGGAGTATGGAAGTCCTTAACATCATCCAGCAGTACTTTGATTCCAAGGTAAATACATCATACTGATATCAGCTTATCAGACAAAACGTGTTGTGGCATATATATTCTGACTCAGTATGTACATGTAGTTTACTTCTCTCAACATGCGCGATGAATGTGAGTGTGACTAAAATGGGTAGCGAAACCCGGGCCGGGCCGGGATTTTCAAAACTGAGAGCCGGGTTTTTGATAATTACAAGATAAATACTCATTCTTTCCTCACGAAATTTACAGACATAGTTTATAAGTATAGGTTTTGCCTTTGCTGAGAATTTTAAGTCAAAATGTTTTGTTTTTCGATGATTATTGCCGATTGTCCTTTTCCAGGTGACTAAAATGGGTAGCGAGCCTTGTTTATTCATTTTGGCCAGTCAGGGGCATCATGGAATCAAGTTATTTTCATAATAACTTGTTTAGGTTACCTTACTTATATATGACTATACAAAGAAGTAACTCATTTGAGTTAATTGAATGCCTATCAATTTTGCTAAAAAAACATCAATATGTTGAGTTTTCTGCTGATTAAAGATGATGCAAGGCTGAGAAAGTTGTAAATATATGTACTTCTTTTAAAAAACTCAACAGACTTAATTTCTCCTGAGCAGATTGGATGATATTAAATAAATATCATGATTTTTGAAAGGAAAAATCATTTGGTTTTAGGAACATTTCAGGGGTCAATTACACATCTTCCGCCAATTTTGCCAACACTTCGACTAATTTTCTTATAATCATTGGACATTACTGTACAATCTGTAAGTCTTATATTTTTTGTACAAAGCTGTATATTTTTGTGCAAGAGTTTTAAAGTGAGGTGGGTTAAGGATGAAATAACAGAAATAAGTTATGATTTGTGGAATTTTAGTGTCCTAGATTGTAAAGATAGATTACTTTTCCTGTCATAAACCATCTAACCAGTACTTGATAACCCAAGCACAGCATGAATAAAGCTATTCAGATGCCAGTAGGTTTACACTAATGAGTAGTAAAGTATCAATAACAGGAATAAGTTACTGAAGAAAAGCATAATCAGGGGAAGATAATCCAAAATGTACACATTTAATAACTTAAACAAATCATTTGAAAAATAACTTGTTTCCATGATGCCCTTGACTGTTGGCGATTTTAAGCTTAATGCATCGAAAGTGTTTGTGATATTTGCATTTAATGGTTGTTTATTAACTTTAAATAGTCAATTGTTCAATCATTATGAAAATAAATGTCAATTATTAGGGTTTTTGTCATTTTTCATAGACCCGGGACAGGTCAAAACCGGACGCGTTTGCCCAAGACAAATTATATAATTCCGGATTGCCACAGAAAGAATGAAGATTTTTTTCAGTCCCTGACCTAGATACATCTAAGAAATAAATTGACAAAAATTAATATAAATATGCAAATAAAAAAGAGTCATTTATATTTCAATTATATGTCATTATCTGATAAGTATTTCGGAAATAAAAGGTTTTTCCAGGGTGAACGTGTCCGGTTCCGACCAATCCCGGGTGTTCAAAAAATGCGTATATTTTCAATAATCTTGATTTATTACTGCAACAGTTAAATGTTTTAGGTAGTTTAAGTTCAATACCAAAGATCCAAATGAAATAAGTGTAAATATCCTGCCGAAATTAAGTTTAAATCACCAAAATGAGTAATCCGGGCTCGCTACCCATTCTAGTCACTTGGAAAAGGACAATCGGTGATAATCATTTCAAAAAAACAACATTTTGACCTAAAACTTTCAGCGAAGGCCAGTCCTAGAATAATAAACTATGTCCGTAAATTTCATGAAGAAAAAATGAGTATTTATTTCGTGATTATCAAAAACCTGGTTTTCGTTATCGAAAATGCCGGCCCGGGTTTCACTACCCATTTTAGTCACACTCGATGAATGTCTGTTTACCAGAATATTTCAGAAGCATATCAGATGAAAGTGATTGTAATAAGTACCTGACCGTGTCAGCTACCAGAATTTTTAGATGAAAATCACTCTTGATATTCTGTCAATTTTTTGAGCAATGAATCTTTATAACTATGTTGCCTGTTTCTGTCTAGGTTGCCTGTCCTCCGTACAAAGTGAACGCCCTGAGAGCCTTCTGTAGAATACTGGAGACCCCCATCAGAATCCTCAAAGACTGTGTTCAACTCATGAGATTGGAACTGGTATTATGATGTTTTCTGTTTACTGTAGGAAAAAGGCAAAAGAGTTGACTTAGTTTCACAAGTCCATATATATCACTGTGACAAATATTGCTTGAAAATAATATTTATTTTGTAATATCAGTCATAGAAGAGGGTTTGTACTTTATTTTACCTGTTGTAGATGGGTCCTAACCAGTCCAGTGGTATGAAGTGGTCCATGCAGTGGTGTCTAACAGTACCACCACAGGCGGCGTTTGTGGCTCCAGCAGGGACTGCCGCCGTTGCCAAGAACAAACAGATCAAGATGTTACTCATGGTAAGTTAAGAGAATGTTTTAATTTATAGAAATGAGTTCCTGTTTGTCCGATGGAACTCTTTTTTTCGAACATACACAATTTGAATGATTATATTTTTAATAAACATGAAATGATTTGATATTGCTTGCAGTATTACTCTTAGTTCTCAAAATATATAAAACTCTGTAAGAGGAGTGACCCACAATTAAACAAATTAAAATTGTTGTTGTCATATTTTTAGATCCAGTTCACCCGTATCCAGCCCCCGTCCGGCCAGGAGCCCCAGTCTATTATCGTCCCCCTCCTGTACGACATCAGCGCCAACACCATACAACACATGGACCCCGTCAGGGGCCAGCCCCAGACCCCAGCCTACATGGCTGTTTCACAGCTCCTACAGAACTTCTACCATGCCCAGAGTGCCGAGTGTATACTGTACCCCGCGGTACAACACATCATGTCTAACCTTAATCTATAACGCATCATACAGTGTCACACAGGACGATATCATACGTCACAGCTCAAACAGAACTTCTACCACACCCACAGCTAGTGTACAACACATCATGTCTAACCTTAATCTATAACACATCATACAATGTCACAGCTCCTACAGAACTTCTACCATACCCAGAGTGTATCCTGTACAAAGTGGTACAGCATATTATGAGAAATCTGAACTGATAATGCGGGTTTTATAGGCCTTACATACACAAAATTTAATAAAATCATAATTGCTCAGAGTGCTTAGTGAAGGCTGTTCCCTGCTGTATTAATGCAACAAATCTTATTACAAGGGCCCCATGGCTAATCTTCTTCAGATATCCAAAATCATAATTTGCTGCTTTACTTTATGGCTTTAAGTTCCACAGATTATATGGCAGTAAGAAAAGCCATCACGTTGTAATCAGAGCAAGCTTAAAGTTATCCTGCTTATTCTAAATTATTTTTCAATAGCAATGAGCAGTGTTGGATTTATATTAATCTGTGGATGTTATTTCTAGACTTAATAAATATGTATCTGTTATGCATTTAATTGAATTAAATGTTAAGCTGTTTTATTTGGTAGGAACATTAAATGTACATAAAATGTCTTTACGTTGGGTCTTAAGCCAAAATATTCTGATAATATGATAAGACTCTCATACTCTTCTTTTCATGAGCAATTATTTCTTTTAGAATATGAACAAGGAAATTTCTTACGATGTGCATTGTACATGTAGTTGTATAAAAAAAATATTGATGCTCACAGATGTCTTTACTCATGTTCTATTTAAATACCTAAACATACTTTTTACCATGTGTAATTTAGTTAAGCCAAGTACACAGTCATAAAACAGTGTCACAGGCTTATTTAATTTCAGAAAAAAATTTACAATGGTTATCCCAAAAATCTATGTAATCCAACAGGTTGAAAGAAATTTTGTTTCTGCATAATTATGACCCTGTGAAAAAAAGTATGTTAAAAGTATTCACCTTTTGTAGTATAGCCAGTTTGAGTGAGATGTTTATGAAAATAAGATGGAGTCAGGGACAGCCTTTAGATCTCCAGTTTATCATATACATGTAGGCAAATCCTCATTGGAGGTCTAGTGTTGTTTGACTTCTACATACGCCTTTGAAATAAGCTATTTTAAGCCCTGTTGAATAAAAATTTAAGGAAATCTGATCCTCGGCCAACGTTCAATTAAAGTCTTTTCATGCAACAAATTTCATTCTGTGAGTCTCAATGTGATTCAAAGATAGGAAATGCTAAATATACTCCTTGAATACTAAAGTAATCCAAATAAACATAGGTGCTGTATAAATTTAAAAAAAATTCTTAAAAAGCCTGGATACCTATAATTTTTCATCCTAAAAAGTATTTGTAAATTCTGATCAACTTTCAATTAGCAAATGTATAGTAGGTGTTTTAATTCGCATTTCCTGAATACTTTTTGACAAAATTTTATATATAACACCAAGAAATACAAAACATTTATATGAGGAATGTGTCGTTTGACCTTAAAACTTACAGAAAGAATATGTTTTCTGTTGTGAATAAAAATTGTCACACTTTATTTCCATGCAAGACTTTCCTTGCAACCATACATACCAATTAGGATATGTTGTCCATATACATGTGTTTTATTAAAAAAAATTACAAAATCATCACTTAAATTACTGTTACATGGACCTCCGGGGATGATATCAAAACATATTTGGACTAGAAAGTAAAAGGAGGATCAGAATCAGAAAACTTAATACATCCATCTTCTGATTTTTTAAAGAAGTTTAACTTTATTTCATCATGTTTGATTTTAAACGCTGCCTTTCTTCTTTCTTTATCATGTTTAAAAATCCTCAAAGAACAAGGTATGGTTTCCATACAAATCTTGCCTGTGTTTTTTTTAATGAAACTGGTGTAAAAGGTGAAAACTCATGCTTTCTGAATCATTGGAATTCCACGCAGAAAAATATTTTCATAATTTATATCACATGGGTTTTTAAATGCTAATTATGACGTCATAAACGTGTATTTTCCTGTATTTTTTTTTTTTTTAAAGTTGCAGAAGACACCAATTTTCTATGGAATTTTCTTTTAGATAATATTTTCCACAGGCATCACCCACAAAGAGTTTGACATATGTGAATTTTTATTGACTTAAATTACACAACATATCAAAAAATTAAAGTGGGCGACGGCTGTGGACACTATTTTCTAAATGATAATTACCATTGAAATCGGCCATTTAGAGGCTTTTTCTGTTTAAAATAGAAAACACATCATATTAATGGCGTTATATTTGCAGAATAATAATCCTTCATGTATTCTTTTCTGATTTATCACAGCCATATATGGGGGTTTCATGAATTAAAACATGGAGATTTCTGCGCGTCCATAATTGTCTAATTATACCTCTTGTACCTTACATATGAATTTTGAGAGAAGAAATGAATGAATGAAAAAAGATAACTAACAATATTCAAGATCAAAGGTCTATAAAACAATATGAAATAGGAGCAGAGCAAACACCGATCCTCCAAAACATCAGAGGTAGGATCATGTGCCATAGAGAAATGAGCATCTCCTGCCGACCAGTCACACCCAGCGTTTGCCCTTTGTCGTGATCGGGAAAATAACGATAAAATCTATTGTCAATTCAGTGTGTAAATAATGGACTAACAATCAGTGTGAAAAACGCAGTCAGCATTTGTCTCAATGATAAATTGTATTTGCTGACAAGGTCATTGTATCGACCATAGAACTTACGAAACGAGAATGCTGATATTCATCTTGTTCATGTTCCTCAACTTGTTTGTCAATAAGTTACTTCGTTTTAGAAATTGTTCATACGTAGAGCATGCTCTTGCGTATCGAATCAACTGAGATATATAAACCCCGTTTGCATGTGATGAAGGTATATTGCTGCATAATTAAGGGAAATTGACGATAGAAAAGTTGAATTCATCACGCTTGTCATAAAGCTTTGTTGTTAGCTTACCATTAACGTCTTTTTCAAGTAAAAATATCCAAATATGAAACAGATGTATCAGACTCTGTGGAATCTTTTATCTCAAATTCACCAGTTTATATCGTATTGACATAAGAATGGAAAATATTGTAAATTGACAATACGTCGTCGATATTTTATAAATGCATTTTCCGATTTTCTATATCCTTCAAATTTGGCCAAAACGAGTTCCTCTTAATAGGCCATTGTCAATAGGGAAAGCCCAGTGGTGAAAAAGAAATAAGAAAGAGGAGATGAAAGGAAAATTAGCAGAAAAACGAGTCATTTTGAAGCTTTTCTGCATTTAACTTAAAAATGTACCAAATTAATGACGTCATATTTTCAAGAAAGGCTCTTCTTCATGCCATATTCTTTAATGATTTATCATATTCATCTACTCAACTATTTTCAAAGTCAATTTCATAACTTTTAAAGAACATTAAATATTTAGGGCACAATAAAGCTTAAACCGTAACTTCTTCTTTAATAAATAAATAAATAAATAAATAAATAAACATAAGGTAATCAAAGATTACAGAACCCTCAACGAATGTTTGTCGTAAAAGTAATGCAAAGTCCCACATTAAACTAGTAATCTAGAAGTGTACATCTAAAAAAGTCATTCATCTGGAAAATCTAGATGCAAGCACTGTGTTTCCCTAGATGTATCATATATACAAGTTTGGTAAACATAGAGCTTATAGCTATTGTAGAATATGTAAGTTGGATCCAGTATCTGAAGCAAGCCTGGTAGTATGCATCCTTGGATATATCACCCATGCATCTTTGGTCAGCATTTTTAAGGTTTCTACATAGAAATGATATATCTGCTCCAAAGACATTAACCTGGTCATTTCGTAGCTGACATTGAACAGGTTGGGAACACCCCAGATAGCAAGACTATGTTGGGCCAACATTGGCAAAAGGTTGTATGGTTGGCGTTGGGGGAACAACGTTGGGCAACGTTGGACCAATGTCACCATGCCAACCTCCTCGACCATGACAGAATTCCTATGTTGGCCCAACGTTGGTCCAATGTTTGTTATACACCCTTAAAGAAAGTGTCTTATCAAATGGGTAGAAGTATATTGGCCCAATGTTTGTAATACACCCTCAAAAATGTCTTATCAATTTGGCAGTACATTGTAGTATGTTGGCCCGATGTTAGCACGAGTGTTCTTTTGTTACGGTGTTTCAAAGATGGGATATTTATATTGGGCCAACGCTGGCCCAATTATTTTACTGCCAACTAAAGATGGTGTAAATTTTAGCTGCTGAGCTGACAATCTATGTCCATGCTTTTAATTGGATGACTGTTTTTGTTTAGATCTGATATATTCAACATTTTAAATTTTATCTTAAGTGATCACAGCACCAAAGAGTGTTTTATTATATTTTTTTAATTGTGCACATGCATGATTATTTAATGAGAATTTAGAGAAGACTGAATACGTTCTCAGGAACAGGATGTGAATGAAGCCTACATATACATAAATCAAAATAACACAGCTTTATAATTAAATTGAAACAAAAGCTAGGCGTTCGCTATCACGTGACCAAACTGTGGAGTGAGCTGTCAGATTCAATTGCTCACAGGTGGTGATAATGCAGGGCAAGCAAGAAGAAGTGAAATTTAAATTTGTGGATTATACACTTGCTATACAGCTGCATTTAGAAGCGATGTAAGTATATTTATTCTTATTTATTCAGGTTAACTGTTAAAATTGATTCGGAATTCATTCTTGTCATGTTTTTGCACACAAGCACTGTAAGTTAAGGTTAAATAACATCTTTTAAGTTGTTTCTATCTATCTAATTCTTAACTGTCTATTACAGACACGATTGTAACAAAGAAATTCAATCAGAGACTGCAAGGAAAACAAATGCTGTGGCGGTACATGTAAATAACAATGAAATCGAAGACCATGCATAAAGAAGTACATAAAGTATGAGTCCGTATGACAAAGATCAAGATGAAGAAAACGGGAGGCGACGAAGGGACGGAAAAGAGCGGGAATACAACAAAAGGACTATAATAAAGGAAGTGAGCCCTGATTAAGAACTTTTAATTGATAATTTTTCATAATTTACCTCTATTGTCTATTTTAAAATTTATTTTGTAAATTATGATTGAATTGATGTATATAAAATATTATCACAGTGAATCATTAGTAATGTTTTCATTGAACATGTCCATGTATGCTTTATGAATGCAGATTGAATTGTGTATTAATTATATGAAACAGTCATAAAATAGGTTTATGTAAAGAATCACTTAACCAATTGCAAATGTTTCTATGTAATAACTACTTTGGCCCAACAATTTGCCATCTGACATTGTAAAAAGAGGGTTAACATTGGGCCAACCTGACCAACCAATTGTTAAGGTTGGCTGTTAGTTGGCATATCTAAAAAAACTACATTGGCCCAACAATATGCCATCTGACATTTCAACATAGGGCCAACGTTGGGCCAACCTAACCAAACAGTTGTTAAGGTTGGCTGTTTGTTGGCGTACACTAATAACTACGTTGGCCCAACAATATGCCATCTGACATTCCAACAAAGGGCCAACGTTGGGCCAACCTAACCAACCAGTTATTAAGGTTGGCTGTTAGTTGGCATACAATTATACCTACGTTGGCCCAACAATATGCCAACATGTTGGACCAACGTTGGGCCGATGAGCAAAATTACCGTGGGCCAACGTAAGGTTACCAAAAGTGGGCCAACGTTGGAAAAAAGATTGGGCCAACGTTGGCCCAACTATGTCTTGCTATCTGGGACATCCCCTTTAGCGAGATCATCTCGCTATTAAGGTCATACGCAATGTAGTTTGAACTTTATTGGGTTCTTCCCTGGAGTTGAAGAGTTCCACTACATGAAAGACCCATGTATAATACTTTTAATGTCTATATATGGATTTGTACACCTCTTCTAAAATAATTTTTGATGAAAAAAAAATTGGAAATTATGTTTTGTAATTTTTGTACATTTTTCTTTGATTAATGCAAAATTTTTCAAAATTTGATAGCTTTTCAAAATCCCTGGTAACGCATGCTGATTTTTTGTCTAAGAACATGTAATGGTATTGTAAGTTTAAATTTAGAATATTTTGAAAAATTATCAGTAGGTGAGGTACATTGCGTATGTCCTTAAAGCGCGATTATCCCTCTTTAGCGAGAGAAAAAACATTACCATAAACGGGAATTTTGTTGTTTTCGTTATAAAATAATCAAAAATCACGTGCATCTTCTTACAGTAAGAAGGTGGGACTTTATTTCAGTCAATCAGGCGATTTGAGAATTTATAGGTCACCAAAACAGACTTCGTGTCGAGATCGTCATGCCCTATGGAAATTCCAAAGTGACGGACACCCCATCACTATATCATGCTGTATATACTCCCGCTTTTCAAGCAGGCGTATTAAAAATAAATAAGGTAAACATGCAATTACAATAACCGTATAACCGAAGTAAGTTTAGTTGTACTTATATTATTATCATCTGTGGTCCTCCGTGGGAAGGCTACGCTATTGTTCATAAACTTATTCTAATTTCCATGATTTGCAGCAGTAGTGACAATATTTTGAAGCAAATTTATTGAGATGAGACAATAAATATTTATCAAATGGGTGAACATACTCCCGGATTTTCCTTTTTCAGAAGTTAACAAGATTACAGTTTGAATCGGTGTACAAATCTCGGTTTTCCGAGATGTATTTTCTCCCGCTACAGAGGGATAATCGCGCTTTAGCGAGATGATCTCGCTAAAGGGGATGTTTTCCCAACCTGTTGAAGCATCCGTAACATGGACTGGTACAAAGAAACACACTAGAAGCTTCTTGCATGCATATCTGATCAACGTTGACATAGAACTACTTAACAAAGAAAAAAAGCTCCAAAAACCTTAACCTGGGACGCCGACGCCGAGGGTATCATATAAGCTCCCCCAACTTCGTTGTGGAGAGCTAAAAATATTAAAAAGTAATTTTAGCATACTAGTACTTTTTCTTAAATGCACAGCCATAATTGTTATAAATTCTTTAAAATATCTGTATGGTGATAGACTACATGGTCAATAAAAAAAGATCTCCAATTTGTAAGGGCTTCAAAGTTGGATTAAAATCTACTTTGTCAAATTAAATTACATAATTTAAAAATAATTATAGAAAATTGAAATAGAACTTTATGTTTTCATCAGAAGTCTGGTATTTTAAAATTGACTATTCTCAAGTTTAAATTATTGAAATCTGATTCTAGTATTTAAAAGTAATATAACGATAATGAGTAACATGAGTAATATTAGCATATTTCGCTTGAAAAATTATCTCAGAGGGTATACTAGTAGGTTCCCCTAAAATACATATATTGGGTTTATAAAAAATGTCTAAGCATGCTGTTCAAAGCTGCTTAGTGCTACATGTGTTAAATTTATTTTTGTTTTTTAAAACGTTCGGCCCTTATTTCAACATTGATTTATGTATATTTTTTTTTTCAATTTCCCGATCATGATACATGAAAGGAGCACACGGCGATTATGGCCGATTGACAGCTGATCCAACCTCCCATGTATATAATATAGGCCCGTGTTTGCTCTGCTTCAAATTTGTAGTTTGATTTTTGGTCGTTATTTCCGTATTTCATTCACTTATATCGAGATTAAAAATACATTCAGGTGTATCACGTTTGTTAGCCAAGGGTTTTATCCGCCACTTTCCGAGAAGAGTAGCGGATTATATGCAGAAACTCATGACTAGCGAAGTTGGTGAGTATAAGTATATAATTATACAAATTATCATTGGGTCGTCTCTTTACTTACATGTTTCAAATCAAGACTTGTTTTAATATAAATTTAACAACAAATTACTACCTGATGAGATCTATTAATAACAGTTTGTGTTATGATTCCGCTCGAAAGTACATGTAATGCGTTTGAAATGTGCATAATGCAAACTACGTACTTATAATAATTGATAGTATTCTTCGTTGGGTTTGGTTAAATCATTTGTTCAATTGCCTTTGGAAAAGAGATGCATGTACCTATAAACATTGACTATAGGTCTCGTATAACACCCAACCAAGAGATTCTGATGATCGTCAATACAAAGAGCACCAGGATAAAGTGGACATTGTTCAGGTGCAGGTAGCAGAAACAGGAATGTACCGTTTTGGTCCAGGATGTGGATACTAGAATTTCTTTTAATGAATCGCGATGGTCATTACAAACCAAAATATGTCCCATAATATCTGTACAAATTCCATAAGGAAGAAAGGCAGACTGGGAATGGTGTCCATTGTAAGAAAACCGAATCAGGCCTGATTTTTCCACTGCCAAGACTTGATTTTTATCAGAGTCTGATATACAAACGTCCCCATTGATATTCTCTGTGATATAGGTAACATGTCCGCAAAAGTTGAGTATGTTAGATGCATATTTGATGTATCGTAACCCATTATATACAATTGCTTTCCTATAGCTTTCAAGTTTTACTTCATTTCCTTTTAGCAAGCCCAGGTGTATATCTCCGTGTTTATGCGAGAAGCAAATGCCCATTGGTTCCCAGTCCAGTGTGTTGATAATATTGACTGCCATTGCATTATTGGAAAGTTTGTAGACGATATTAAAATTTACATCTGTAAAAATCAAATCCCCCTTCTGGTTGACAGCGTGATAACCCATTGGATTAGGAAAACCAGATCCGATTGTCATTATCGTTGTTCCATCCATATTAAACTTGTTGAGATTTCCATTGTTATCACTGGCCCAAAATATTCCAAATTTGAAGAACGATAAATGGTAAATTTCTTTGACTGAAGTGAGATGGATTTTCTTCATTTCTATGGCCAAGGGTATGTTGGAATGTATTGCTTTGTTCACGGATAACTTCTTTGAAATTTGTAGTGATATATCTTCTTCGTCTTTAAGAACCTTTTCTTTCCTTTGGGAGAATTCTCCAAACTGTTTTTCAATTTCTTTCTTTATAACTGTACCCTTTGTAAACTCTGGTAAAACAGATTCACTTACAGCAGGATACTTTATCGAAGAATTAGTTGATAACAATTTACTTAATTCGATTATTTCCGTTGGTTTACTTGACGCCAGCTTAGTTTCATAGTCTTTTATCGATTTTTCTAAGAATGATATGAACTCGTCGGATTTCCTTCCTTGATCAACCATTTCATCTAATATTGATTTTTCAATTATGTCCAATTTGGCATTGTTTTCTGTTAGAACGACATCCACGACTGCCTTTATTTCATCAGCACTCTTCTTCATTGATAATCTCATTTTTTCAATGTTTTTCTTCACGTCATCTACTTTTTGTCTTTGCAACTTCATGTTTTCTACAGACTGAGGAAGAATTGTCTCTTGGATTCTCATAATGTCTTTCTGGTATTCTTGTAAACTTTCATTGTAAACAGTTTCAAGATCAAGGACTTGATGACCATTGTGATCTGATGCAAAGCATTTTGAACATACCGGAGCAGGACAATCTGTGCAATAGAGTTCTAAGACCTTTTTAGTATGAATCTGACATTTTTCTTCAGGTAATTCCTTTATCCTATTTTGATAAAGGACTATCTCATGTTTTCTGTTTTCTTTTTCCCGGAGATGGGTATCTCTGCATTCCTCACACATTCGCTTGTGACATGAATTGCAGTAGAACCTGGAGTAACTCTTACATGTGGCGCACTCTACGTAGTGCAAAGCGCTTCCTCTGCTTTGGCTACTCATATCTGGAGGTGGTATTAATCTGGAGAAAAAAATCAATAACATGTACATCACTGTATTGGTTTTGGGAATTCGACGGCAACTGTATGTTATCGTTAATCATAAAACAGATTGAACAATGACGTATTACATTTAATTTTTCAAAGATAGATAATACATAATTGTTCTACGAAAGAGTATCGATCGGATGAGACCGTATATACCGAGCTCCCGTGTTTCAGTAGATTCTGGCACGAAAAAGATCCATCCATGCTCAATAGCCCTGAGTGCCAAGTAATCGACAATAATTCTAGCTCTACCGGCAAGTGGTGGAATCTCCATATGATAGAAAAATTATCGAGAGGGACGTTTTTCAACATGCAATCAATCAATCAATCTACCAAAGACTTGTAGCAAATGTTCATACTTCTTGAATTTAACAAATGATACTACATGTATACAATTATGGTCTTTTTTGGTGTTGAATAGGGTTTGTTATTCACCAGAAAAATATTCATATTGAGACTTTAAATGACTGATCTTAATGTCAATTAAGATTCATTAATAAAGTTAGTTTAAATTCACCGACCTTCACTATTACGCTTTCTATGTTGATAATATTGTGGCATATTTTTGCCTCTTACATGCAAGATAATCTTAACATGCGACACATTATGTAGATATGCAACTTATTTATGTCAACATGCAGAATAATCATGTTTCCTGTCTTAGAAGAAAAAATAATTTAAATATTGCTTAATTTACTTGCTAACACAATTATTTAAATTCATACATGCCAGATAATTATGTAGAAATACGAATCATTTATGTCAACATGCAAAAAAAAAATAATGTTGACATGCAACTTCGTCAACATGCAAGATAATTATGTAGACATGCGATTTATTTATGTCAATATGCAAGATAATTATGTTAACATGCAAGATATGTATGTTAACATGCAACTTATTATCTTGCATGTTGACTTAATTAATTTGCATGCTAAAATATAACTTGCAGGTTGACATAAATACATGTCCTCGGTGCTCGGAAAGAAACCAAAAAAAAAAAACGCTTTTCGGTCATTTAGCCTTAATGATTTCACATAAATATTCTCTTCTAATTGAAAAACATGTCCGTAATATTTTTATCCAATTTCTGATTGTTTTACAACACATTTTTGAGTATGACCCATAGTGTCCTGAAATATGGAAGATCCTATTATTTCCTGAACTTTTTATGTCTATTTATTTTGTTTATTATTCAAGTTTGGAAAATGAAACAAGTGAAAGGGTGAAAAACCTGGCAAATATTGTTAATTTTATAATTAATTTCTGTTTATACCCTAAACTCCTTTACTCTTAAGGGTGTGTGGGTAAATTGGTCGCTTTCATGAAGATATTTAATGTTCTGAATTCCTGAATCTGGTTCCTTCCTCTCTAAAAGCTTTCGATTTTTTTGCAAAAACTTGCTTTTTGACTTCTCCAGAAGATGAACTGCTTCCCCAAATAAGAATTGTACATGTAACAACAAAACCACTAATATGTAAAAAAAAAATGGCATATACATCTGGCTTTGTGCTCTTGCAGTTCTTTGCTCTTTTCACACCTTTGCTGTTTTTGTCAAGTGCATAATGTTTTATATTTGTTTTGAGGATAAAAATCAATGAATTCACGTTTCATTATCTGTTTGAATTTCAAACAAACGTTGAAAACTTCAATTTCTGGCTTTTTAAAAAAAATTCATTAGATATTCTGTTCGCGTATAATTGTATTATTATATAAGAAGATATTCTGTCCTTTTCACTCATTTTCAAAACATCGGGTGCCAATTGAGTACTTAGCTTTTTAGCTGTAAAATGTTTCTTACAAACAGTTTGAACTTATATCTCCCGAAATGATGCCTCTATTTTTAAATTTGCTATGTGTCTGAAAGTCAATCAAACATCATCAGTGATAATTATTCGAATTTTTGTTCATTGAAATCCACTTGCTCATTTGTCTATAAAACAGACATTGGTTGTTGTAAATTTCCTATATTTCAGTGAATATTTGGGGGGAGGGGGGTCAGAACAAGTTTTACATCAGCTTTGATAAAGCATTTAATTACACAATATAGCTTACTGATTCATTACCATTCATTTTATGCAGTGTCTCGAATAGCCCTTGTTTACCAGCTTTCACAATGAAACTTTGCGATAAAAAGTGGTCACATTACATGTAACTGCAATAAATTCATTAAAGATTAAATCATCTGAGAAGTCAAGCTTAATGACATTATGATTGCTAAAGTGTATGTCATAGAGCTCAGGAAATAATTTATTGAACAGCCCTCGTAAGTTGCATGTTTACATAAATAGTTGGCATGTAAACATTGTTATCTTGAATGTTGACATAAACAAGTCAAATGCTTTATAATTATGTTGCAAGTTAACATAACTAAGTTGTATATGTCTACAAAATTATCTTGCATGTTCACATAGCTACCTCGCATGTTAACATAAATAAGTCGCATGTTTACATTATTATATGTTGTATATTACATGTATGCTGTCAGATAATATCATTGATAAAAAAATGTACCCATACTGAAATTATATTCTTGGATAAGATTGGTAACTTGCATGCCAACATAATTACTTTGCATGCACACATAATTATCTTGCAAGTTGACATATTTTTTCTAGCATGTTAACATAATTTATCTTGCATGTAGGCGGTAGAAATATGCCAACATATCGTTTAAATTATTTTATTTTAAAATTGTTTTTTTATAGAAACTTAAAATTCATGAACATTTAACGTTGCTTGCTTGTTAAGACAAGAATGAAAGGAAATGGTATGTTAAAGGGTATATTAGCAAAGGGAAACTAACTTTTCTACGACTTTTTGGGACAATTCTCGCATACACATGCTATTTATCTTTATAAATTACTTGTCATATTTGTTATTAACCGATAAAAAAGAATGTTATTCTCTCACCTGACTATATAAAGTGTTTTCAGTTTTGGGATTTCCTTTTTATTCTGTCCGCCATTTGCAATATCTGTCTCCTCACGTGGGCATAATGGATGTCATCTAAACGAAAGTAGATTTAAATCATCCTCTTCGACTCAGTGTAAATTTAACATATATTTTTGAAATAAAAGTGAAATAACTGTATGACGCAGTAAGTATATTAGGAGCACATAAAGAGACACCAGTATGCATGAGAAAATTTACTTTCTGTGGATCTAATTTTAATGCTTTGCTAGTTTTTATATATGGTGATTCTATTTATTAAATTATAATTTATCTTGTTAGAATTCTCTGAATTAATTATCTTTTGTGAATATTACATCAAATGACATTCTTTATGTAATACCAATGACGGTGACTTGTAGAATATATTGACTCAGTTTTAAAGCTGACCTGTGTTTCATTTTTCAACGTTGAATATTGAACAGACGCATTTTTTTCTTCTAAGATCAATAGTCATGAAATTTATACCCTAGATCATTTTTCAATAGCTTGGCATGTCAAGGGGGTCCGGGGAGGTCTGGACCTCCCTTAGATTCGTGAAAGGGAGTTTAGGGCTTTTTTCGCTTGTCGAGAAGTTTTTTGTTAGTTTTATTAACTGGGGCTCAGACAATCCTTTTGAGAAAAAATAATGGATCCGCTTCTGATTGGTAATTATTTTCCAAATCTCCGCTGAAATGATCAGGCTTCAACTGAAGTCTTTTGAACTGTCTTTGGGCTGGAGGTTTTTAATGTGATTTAGCTTAATCCATATCTATTTATATATTAGTTTAAAAAATAATTAAAATATGTCTGGGAACCCAAATAAAAATCTACAACCATGCACTTTTTCCCACCACCCCCTTTACTAGGACGATTCTGGAACTAAAGTTGCATGGTCTTCCATCGTCTTCTAAAGATGCTGAAATTGGACCTTCAGGTCATCAAGTTCTATCGAACGTATGGAACTTGGATTTATTGGCTTCGAAACATGTAAGGATGTAGTAAAATTAATACAGTATTGCAGATTTTACAGGAATGTTTCCCAAAATCTATCGTCTATGGACGATAGAAAATTGAATCATATCTGGCCTCATGTCCTAAAAATGCATATAGAAGGCTGCTAACTTTTGATTTAAATGTATTATGCCATAATAGTATATCGTAAATAACACGAATTTTCATTTGTTCAATATAATTTTTTTTTCTCATAAATACAGAGTACATTTTGAAATATAAAATGATATGTTGTGGTTTGGGGTATTAATCTAAATTATGCAATAGATTAATAGAAAGATTAAGCCTTAAACATTTATGATCGTTGTTATTGCTATACTATTTTCAAATTTAATTCACCCGTATCCAGCCCCCGTCCAGTCAGGAGCCCCAGTCTACCATTCTCCTCCTCCTGTACGACATCAGCGCCAACACCATACAACACATAAACCCCGTGAGGGGGCAGTTCCAAACCCCCGCTTACATGGTCGTGTCACAGCTCCTACAGAACTTCTACCAATCCCAGATTGAGAGTGTATACTGTACCCCGCGGTACAACACATCATGTCTAACCTTAATCTATAACACATCATAAAACGTCACAGCTCAATCAGAACTTCTACCACACCCACAGCTAGTGTACAACACATCATGTCTAACCTTAATCTATAACACATCATACAACGTCACGGCTCAATCAGAACTTCTACCATGCCCAGAGTGCAGAGTGTATACTGTACCCCGCAGTACAACACATCATGTCTAACCTTAATCTATAACACATCATACAATGTCACAGCTCCTACAGAACTACTACCATGCCAGAGTGCTGAGTGTATCCTATACCTTGCAGAACAACACATCATGTCTAATCTTAATCTATAACATAGGGCATCATACGAGGGCTGTTAAAAAATTGCGCGGACTGTGCTACTATTTACTCTTACAGACGTCATATAGTTATGAAATTTCACAGAAATATGTATCTTAAAGATTTCAATAAATTTTGGGCAAAATTTCTGTATTTAAAAAAAAATTCTACTAAAATTATCGGTTTGTTGATATCGCTGATGGAGAGGTACGAAGCACGACAAAATATTTGAAGCAAAAGCATGCGGAATCCAAACTTTAACTCATTAATTTTCTAAAATTCATGATATTTTCGACAATTTTCTCAAATGTATCCTTCAATTGTTCTATCTCTATGTATTCAGATTTCTAACGTGATATTTGAAGTACGAGCAGAAATATAGTGATTTTTCTATTATGCGATTCCCGTGAAAACTACTGTGAAAATGAATTCTTTTGAACTCTTTTTGTTAAATAAAAAACTTAAATTCCGTGTAATGCTCGAGATATTGCTAATATAGATAAAACATATGCATTATGAAACATGAAGTAAACTAGGATATCCATGACATTCGTCCACAAATAGCAAATTGAAATTTTAGACCGTTGGATCTCTGTAAAAAGGCTATACGGGAGGACGGGAAGAAGATTATCGACGAAAACTTTATCCAGACTGTAAAGAACGTTATTGATAGACACCAATATCACATTATATCTTATAAATATCTGTAGTTTTTGGTTTTAAAACAAAAAAAGAATTTTCCGTACTTGTTTAATAGATTTTAAGCTTGACAAGAAATGGTGTTTGGATGTTGAGTAGAAAAGATAACTCAAACTATATAGGTACTCTTGGGGAAATGAAAGCTCATCACATATTTTTTATAATGCCTGTGACGTCGAAGATTTTGCTGCTCCGTGATTTAATGATATGTCCTGAAAAATCATTAAAAATTGATACCAATTTACAGCATTTTGAAATGAAATTTTGAAGACCATATAAGTAAAGATTTTTTAACATTATGTGTGACATTTTGACTGATTATCTCGTCAAATATTTTTTCTGTGCAACAAGTCCGCGTAATTTTTTAACGGCCCTCGTACAATGTCCCAGCTCCTACAGAACGTACAGAGTGGATACTGTTTCCTGTGGTATACTTTTATTAATCTATAATACAAGACATTGTGAACCTGAAATGCAGACAATTTCACAGGTCTTACAGAACTTTTTCATAGCTCAAAGTGCTACGTGAATGCCATTTCCTGCTGTATTAATGCAACAAAGTATAATAAAGGCCCCATGGCTAGACTTTAACTTCAGTTAAAGCCATCTAATGTTAATATCCAGTACAACAATTTGATGCATTATTTTAATGGGGTTATCTCCCACACATGACACATGCACCAAAAAACTCAATCATGGTGTAATCACAACTGCATAGAATTATCATGGTTATTTAAAACATGATTTCCATTAAGCTGCTTGTGTTTGAATCTATATTACTCTATCGAATCGGATAATGTTCATTGTTTTATTTGTTAAGAACATTAAATGTCCAAAAAGTATTCCTCTGCCTCCGATTTAAAGCAACAATAGTTTGATAATTTGAGAGACACATTCTTTGACATATGATAGTATTTACACATGTACATGTAGTTCTTGAGTAATATGAAAAGAGAATTATAAGTTTCGATGATGTACATGGACATGGTAGTTATAAATAACATAATAGATAGATATAATAGATAAAAACATATTGATGGTTTCAGCTGTCCACTTTCTACTCGTCATGCTCATGTTACTACATATTAAAGAATGTGAACATGAATACTGTAGAGGTAATTTTTCTCTCTATGTAAGATTATTTACACTCAGTACACACTCGTACACATTCTGCAGAAACTTGACACATCCTACTTAATTTTAAATAAAACATGGTAACAGTGGTAATCAAAGAATTCTACTTTATTTTTTACCTGTAGGACAATAAGATAATTGCTTCACTCTCTTTATTAAAAAAAATCAAATGAGATACAGAGTACAACTAACAACATCGATCTTTCTTATCATTTTACATTCATTATCAATCACTACAAGTTTTGTATTAGTAACATGTTATTAAAACTTCAATTTGTTGAGAATTATTCTATTATGTCATTATTTCTATAACCCTTCCGTTGACCTTAACTTTAGTCTTCAAGATACACTTATTTTAATTAGTTAAACTTTGGGCAAAGGTATGTTTTCGTCAGAACAAACGAATAAAAAAAATTTAAAGACCAAAAGAAGGGAAATATACACTGTAACTATATGTAGATCACATTAAATGTATTTTCAATGCTTTTATTTTGTCCTGTCCATCGAGCAGCTAAACTGTCTGTCAGTGTGGGATAATACTTCGGATACTGTACAATTTATACCTGTATGATTATTTATGCATTTCATTGAATTATAGAAAATCCATGGATACCTTTGATAATTATGACTCGACATATCTTTGGAGATAGTTAAACACCGTGATGAGAGGACAAAAAGCATCCCCAATCATTAGATTTTGTTGGTCATAGACACAGAGAGCACGAGGGCTACATTTGGCTGTTATTTTGTTATTTTAATTTGATATTGGTTAACAATGCCAAAGAATTCGCCATGTTGGTTCAGCATATGAACACCGATCCCATAACCTTTCAAAAAGCTAAAAAATGGATACATTATTTCATGTTGTTCTACTTCTCTATCGTTACAAACCATGACATTTCCAACGGAATCTGTGCATATTCCATACGGTTTGAATTGGTGTCTTGGATGATCCGGGTAAGAGAACCGATGCTCTCCTGATGACGTCAATACTACCACCTCTCTGTTGCTTGTTACACAAATGTCACTAATGATGTTCTCCGTGATGTACCTTACACTGTCGAAAAGATCCTTTAAATTATCATTTTTCTGAATGTTTTGTAACTTCATTCCTCCTTTGCTGTATCTGGTAATTTTCCATGCTGTATCTTTCTTCATCCCAACCAATATGTCCCCATTAATATGAGAGGAGAAGATTAATCGTGGACTCCATTCCCCTGTGTTAAGAAACGCAGTTATTATCATATCACTGGTAACTTTGTAAATTGCTTTCTTCTCATAATTTGTGTAAAATAGATCTCCCTCTTTAGTGACGGTATGGAATCCTTCTACCTGTTTTCCTGTATATATTTTCTGAAGTTCATTTCCT